ATTCCATTCCGCATGATTAATTTTTTCCGTATACATTTCTTATACATTAGTTTTTTAAAAAAATGTTCAAAAATGAATTACTTATTAAATATACGGAATTTGTATACGGAATCTATAGAAACGTACATAAAATGTATACAAAACGTATCCTTTCCGTATACATATTTTTTATAGGGCTTAATTTTCGTACATTCAATATTTCCTTATCAATTATTTCCATCCTCTGTGAGAGAGCACCTTATTCTGCTTAGCGTTTTGATAAGCCTGTGTCCTCTATTGTAAGCAACTATCAAATTACCCCAGGAATAAATGGTTATAACCACCAATGATATCGCAGTATAGTATCCGGATATAATATTAAAGGTAAATTAAAAGAGTTTTATATTGCATAAGAAATAGGGTAAATGGGTAATGTGATTTCGTCAATGACAAATTTTGAACCATTACAATGCTCAAAACCGGCTCACGATGGCTGCATTCTCCAGCAAAGATGGCGACAGTCTGCATGGTCTTGAGGTTCCACAAACGTATAGAAAGAACTTTACTCGAAAATATGTCCTTCAGACGATTTCTTGAAGTTAGGTGAAGTTGGCTCGTAAAATTGTTTGGATTTTTAATTTTTTGTAAAAAAATATAAAATTAAATTTTCGTATCGTATTAAAAATATGATACTTTTAATAGCCTTAAAAGCATTCTTTTATAATATCTATGGTCAAGATTTTGACGAAATCTTTAAGCAAACTACTATCAAGGAAAAATTGTCCTTTATAATAATGTCCTAAGAATCATTCCAATAAAACTTGGAGAAACAATTTCCAATGAATCAAAATCTTTACGTAAAATTCAATCCGGGACAACTCTTTCTCATCGAAGAAATAGCTCCATAAAATACGCATCGCTAATCCTTTTCAAACATTGCTGTAAATGTTTCCTAACGCGTTTTTTTTCTCATTCCAAATAAGAAACTTGAAGTCTCTAATTTTAAGTTTATCAACATCGATTATAGAATCATCACAAACGTTAACCATTATATAATTTAATGATACCTTCATTTTGGAGATAAGAAATTTTTTTTTTTAGAGAAAACTATTAGTGAAAGAAATATTTTTTTTTTTTTGAGAAACTTTTAGAAAAAGATATAATTTTTTTTAGAGTGAACCTTTTGAGAGGAAGAAATAATTTTTTTAGTTTGAGAAAAACTTTTTAAGAGAAACAAATAATTTTTTTTATTAAGTTTTAAGAAAACTTCAGAAAGTTTGAGGGTATATATAAATTCATTGTGATTAATAAAATAGTACTTCGATAAAAAAAATCATATTATTAATTCAAAGTGGCACTGTTTCCGATTGTGGCGCAATGTATCAGTAAAGAATTCTCATATTTAAATCAATTTTTCGGCTGTACGGTTACCGAAACGTGACTTAGCTAATCCCGGGGGCTGATGATGAACTACATGTAATAAAATCATATAGTTTTTATATTAATAATTATGATTGATGGGAAGAACATGAAAGATTTTGATCGATATAATACAATTAGAACATCCGCTTTGACGCAATATTGCCATTACGTAACTAAATTACATTTATGCAAAAATCGTAATTTTGATAGTACAACAGTTTTATTATAAGTACTATCTATTGTCCTTCTTTTCTTACACGTAATATTCTTTTTTTTTTTATCCCTAAATTTCACAATTATGACAAAAATATCTGATTAATTTTTAAATACACCAGCAAATGATTATAAATTTCTTGGCTACTATAATTACCGCAGACAGCAACCTGATTTCACGTTTTTATTCTGTCATTCAAAAAAGAAGCTTGCAATCTCTCTATCGAACTAGAGAAACTAATAACTCACGAGAAATTAAAATGGCTGCATTTCCTAAAATATCATGCATATTGTGAAAAAAAAAATCTCACATTATTTGATAATAAAATACAAGAACGAAATTAATCATCTGGCGTCCAGATTTTAAGAAGATTTCCAAACTTTCTTGTTAGAATAAGTTATTTATTACCTAAAAATAAATGATAAAAATATATTAGAAGACTCGAGTACTCTAAGTAAGCTTTGTAGAAAAGACAGATTCAAGCCCCCACGCCCACTATCAACTGACATTAACGATATATCGTGAGTGATCAAACTCGTGCAGAGGTACTGTCACATTGATAATAAGACATGAGACGGGAAGGGCCCCACATACAGAAGTCTGCGACATAGCTTGAGTATTATTTTTCTCATTTAAGGTAACCAGACTTCTAGAAGAGGAGGATAACCAAAGCACTCTAGGTGCACAAATCCCTTATACATCCCAGCTTAGTCATTTCCACTTACCAAAATAACAAAAAAAGCCCAATAAAATTATCTTTTTTGACATTTAAGTAGAAATCTTCCAAGGCTTTTGTAGAAAGGATAAGAATGAAATCTTATATTGTATGTATTAAATATAATAACTGATAAGTTCAAGAAAGTTATAATAACCATTGGACAGTAACTGTAAATAAAAAACGCGTGATAGGTGACAAAGCGACGCGAAAACATTTAATTACGAGAGTTATGTTGTAACAAGTGTTGATGGAGGGTGGTTGTTTAAAGGTGCTAGAAAAATGTTGATGTTTGGATATTAAAGAAAAAGACAAATGTTAAATAAATAAATAATATTTAAAGATAATAATAAATATTAAAAGGAG